AATGCACTGTAGTTTGAGCTTTTCCCCATCTAGTTATTATATATCTTATTTGTATCACTTATGTTACTTGTATATTATTTGTAATTCGTAACCCATTCCCCAAATATGTAACTGTATATTTTCAGCCTTCTGGCTGCCAAGCTCTTTCAATAAACCGTTAATTATTATTATTATTATTATTATTATTATTATTATTATTATTATTATTATTATTATTATTATTATTATTATTGTTATTATTATTATTATTATTACACACACACACACACACACACACAGTGTCTTACCTGTCAGGTGTCAGTCACCAAGATCACCACCACCTCAGGGAAAATCTTAACCAATGACAAGAAATTAACCAATGAAAAACAAAGCTTGATCCTTTTCCACTCAACTAAAAAACTTTTAAGAAAAACTTCATAAAGCAAATAACATTCGTAGAGTCAGGTGCTACAATTTTATCGCCGTGGAACAGGTGATAAGAGTGGGCAGAGGTGGGCTGAGATGGGTGGACAGGTGGGTGGGTGAGTGGGCTCCGGAGCACGCCTGGCTTCAAGTAGGAGTGGCGACTCGTACTGGGCCATGTAGACTTCCTCTAGTGTTGGAACTTACACCGCGCACACTCTCTCTCTCTCTCTCTCTCTCTCTCTCTCTCTCTCTCTCTCTCTCTCTCTCTACAGGACGTGTCTACTCGTCCCAAATAAAGCACAATACACAACATCCGTAGATTGTACTTCATCCACACACACGCTGTGTACACATTACATACACTGTGCACATCAAATGCACACGAAGTACAGTTTGTACATCATCTACGAGCTTAATATTGTACCTCATTCAAGCACATTGTACCCTACATTATACACCCTGTACACCACCCACACACCCTGTACACCACCCACACACCCTGTACACCACCTACACACCCTGTACACCACCACACACCCTGCACACAACCCCACACCCTGTACACCACCTACACACCCTGTACACCACCCACACACCCTGTACCACCCACACACCCTGTACACCACTTACACACCACCTACACACCCTGTACACTACGCCACACACCCTGTACACCACCTACACACCCTGTACACCACCTACACACCCTGTACACCACCTACACACCCTGTACAACACCTACACACTTTGTAAACCAAACCACACTCTGTAAACCACGCCACACACCCTGTACACCACCCACACACCCTGTACACTACACTCCCTGCATATCACACCACACACCGTGTACACCACCCTCACACCTTGTACGCCACTAACACCCCCTGTACACCAACCAGACACCTCGTATACCACCCACACTGTACACAACCTAGACACTAGATAAGGATGATGAATGAACGTAGGTCGTATTTGATAGGATATTTCATAAGAAAAATTAATCACCATCTGAGTCATTCCTCCCGCTATTACACACCTTGTCACTGTGTATAAAGGAGGTGTCATTCACGCGTTTCTTTGGATCCATAGTAGCTTGTTATGTATGTGTGTGTGTGTGTGCTGAGAACTATATATAATGATAAACTAAGTTAAAATTTCAGTACGTTGTGTCGTGCTCACGAATAATAAATAATAATGGTTGCCCCTCGTGTAATGTAATGGCCGGCCCAAGGCCACCTAGGACTGAATTTGTTTTAGGTGTAGAAGCTGTCGCGTAAAGAAACTTGCCCAAAGTTTCACCCTGCCCGGGGATCGAACCCGGGTCTGCTAGCTTGCGAGGCGAGCATGCTGACCATTACATCACAGGTCGCCACACACTGTAGTTCAGGACCATATGAGTGAACATATATCTGGAGATATATTTTACGGAACAAAAGATAATTTGGTCCTGTGTAAATTACGTGTAACATTCCACACACGCTGATGTTCATTTTTTATGTGGCAAGGAGATTATGTGGTGTATTATGTAGGGGGGGTAGGAGAGAAGTGACGGAACCTATATGTGTGTTTACCCCCTTCCTCCCCCTCTCGTTCATACCTGCAAGACGATAAACCACTAAACTCACTGTTCATGACCTTCAGGGTAAACTAACACTCAGAACTAACTCTCACACTCGATTATTTAACAAAGTATTGACACGGTTGTTGAATCGCTACATCAACAATCAGATTTTAAGCCAATGAAACATGTGATTAATCAGTATCATTTTATGTTCAAGGATCTTTAAGTATATATCAGAAAAATGGATTTTATTTATTCCCGTGTGTGTGTGTGTGTGTGTGTGTGTGTGTGTGTGTGTGTGTGTGTGTGTGTGTGTGTGTGTGTGTGTGTGTGTGTGTGTGTGTGAAGTAATGCCAGGTTACCACACGCCGAGAGATAGACCCACCTGCACCTGTTGTTTATTACTGAGGAGGTCGTCAGGTGCTCAGTATTAACGTGTATATATTTCTTTGTATCTCTTAAAAGTTTAATTTCCTGTTTATGTTGTAACCTAGAATACGAATCTTATAGACCTTATAGTTGTTAAAAACGTTGGTACTACATTATAACATCAACTTGCCATTACAGTAACCAGGAAAATGTTTGTGTGTGTGTGTGTGTGTGTGTGTGTGTGTGTGTGTGTGTGTGTGTGTGTGTGTGTGTCAGCATTGTATAATTTGATATCGTTCGAGAAAATACCGTCCAGGCGGAAGTAACAATGATAAAGGCTAATGTTTGATCGCGTTCATGACACAAGATGTTTTAGTCGTGCCTCCCCCCGACACCTTTAAAACCATACGTCGAAATAAACTATTATTATTAATCCTGGACGTCCATTGGGTGTGACTTACAGTTCTCAATAAAAAGGTTTAAAAAAAATGGCTTCCTGTTTCACGATGATTTGGGTATGCGAATAATAACAACATCAACACACCATAAGTCACCGAACACTTTACCTCTTGAGTACTTCATTAATCATTTGGTTCCTCTGATCTTGCCGATACAACCACCTGTGTGTGTCGGAACTATTGACCTTGTCGTACCCATAGACCTAGGTCGGCCCGATACGGTTACCCTGTCTTTCCGATATTGTCACCACTCTTCCCTATACTGTTATCTGTTCGAGCCGATGCTATCATTAATAATAATAATAACAATAATAATAACAACAACAATAACCGTGGTTCCGGTAATGATCCTAACTACAGTACATTACACTATACCCTACACTAATCACCATTAAACACACACCATTCTTATACACAATAAGGGCACAGTAAACAGTCTGTTGAGCTTTTGTAAGTAGATCAAAAAAGAAATGTTTGGTAACTCACAATCAACTGACTACATCCGGCCTCCCGTCACCGTAGTAAAAGAAAGTGAAACAGCTTCGAGGCGTCAGAACTGTACTGGCCGGGTGTGGCTGTTGTGGTAAATTAATGATGCACTGAATGGTATAATGTGATTTGCTTAAAGTCTTTCACATTTAACCTCTACTATAGTTTAAGGGGATTTGAAGAGTACAGGAATTTACGGATCACATGAACATTAGCCCCCCCCCCTTAGTTTACTTAACTTGATCAAATTTTGTACCTTAACGTTAACCTAACAAAGCATAACCTAACAGAGCCTAACCTAACATTACAAAGCATAACCTAACAGAGCCTAACCTAACCTAACATTACAAAGCGTAACCTAACAGAGCCTAACCTAACCTAACCTAACATTACAAAGCGTAACCTAACAGAGCCTAACCTAACCTAACATTACAAAGCATAACCTAACAGAGCCTAACCTAACCTAACATTACAAAGCGTAACCTAACAGAGCCTAACCTAACCTAACATTACAAAGCGTAACCTAACAGAGCCTAACCTAACCTAACATTACAAAGCATAACCTAACAGAGCCTAATTATCACGTGAACTATTTATTGAATATTTGCATCAGTTTTATGAGGTAAACAGAAATACAAAGATAGACATAAATATATAGACAGACATATATACATACATACATACATACATACAAGGAGACAGACATACATACAGTCATTCATACATACATACATACATACATACATACAAGGAGACAGACATACATACAGTCATTCATACATACATACATACATACATACATACATACATACATACATACATACATAAGAGACAGACATACATACAGAGAGACAAACCACATCGTAATTTTCATATAAACCTAACATATTTGTCACTTATTATTTTCTTGTGTTACTCTGAAGAAAAAAACTAGCCACATCTTGACGTCGCGTGTCCGTCTCCAGGTGTTGTGAGAAGCGAGCAAAGGTGTGTATGTTACTGTGTGTGTGTGTCAGTATTTGTCGGTCTGGCTTAGTTTTTTCTCTTTGTTTGTATATTTTCTTTCTCTTCCACTCACGCACAATTACAAAAACAAAATGTACACTCAATTCTTCATTATTAGTATTACTATTAATATTATCATCCTATTACCATCATTATTTAAATTTGATGAACATTGCCTCTACGGTCTTTACCGGCTCTGAGTCAGGGAGGTATTGTCACCTGTCACTCTGCCTGGGTGACAGTCCGTTGATAAGACTGTCACTAAAGCGGCAACACACACACACACAAACCTCGCGTGGGCCTAGCGGCGAGGTCCTCCATGCCCCTCGGCGGTGCTTTGATATCCCTGCCGTAGTGTGGGCGATCCAGGGCCTCTGTTTATCTAAGCACCTGTGATAATCTGTTGTGTGACGCCGCTTTATAATAGCCCTTTATAATGTGACTCACGTATTATTTTCTTTATAAGAGTTCATGAAATACACTGTGTATGGCGGTATATTTCTAAAGCTATTTTTAATATACGTGAGTGATTAGGGTATGGTGCAAGCTTTGAGTGCACCGGTGAGTGTCTATCAGTGTGGTATCAGCAGTAGAGTTGGGATACACGTGGGCGACAAAACACGAGTGTGTTTGTGTGTGTGTGTGTGTGTCACGACGTGTGTACTGTATATATACCCGCTACACCTACTGCCCAGCCGCCAGTGTATCAGAGACGGGAGTCCCCTCACTGCTGGATACATACCATACTATAATCTGCGAGTGACTTTAACTGTAGTGTGCCTTCGTGTGATCGTTAGTACATAAACGTCACGATATAACTAACTCAACGAGGATACCTATCTTAAGGTTTTACAAAGTTTATAAACAAATCCAGTCCTGAAATCAGCGACAACCTGATGTGTGACCGTCGGCAGCATCAACTAACACACCTTCGTCGCTGCGTTCCACAAGGTGTAACGTCCGCCACGGTAATTGGGTAACGAGGATCTTGAAAGAATAAAAACCACCCTCACGATTATCCATAGAGTGAAACGAGCTTAACGAATATCTCAATATCCAAGTTTACATTAAAACCATAAACAAACAGCTAAATTAAATTGCAGCGTGAGAGAAGAGCCCCACTATGTCGCTTAGTCTGAGAGCGCGAAACTGTGGTCCTTCTGCAGTACGCTCCTTCTTTCTCTTCCCATGTGTCGTGGCGCTGGTATTGTTGGTGATCCCTGGTAGCGCCTTCCTGGGCCGCGGCACACTCTTGCCGACTGAGGGCGACATATTTGGTATTTACTGCCCGGAGTTCGACCGTGGCACCCGCGTGTGGCACCATCGGGAGATTACAAGGGAGGCCGTCAGGAGGGTCATCGGCAAGTACTTCCAGGTGAGACACAGGTGTTCTTAATACCATTACGTGAAACACAGGTGTATTAATTACTGCCAAGTGACCATCTTGGAGAAGCATAAGTGCTCGCCTGTATAAATGGATGTGTTGACGCATCTCTCTCTCTCTCTCTGTAAACTAAACCATCATCGTACCATCATATATCTAATATTATTAAATTAAACTCCTCACATCGCGTCACTGCCAATGTTCCTGAGGTCACCGCTGCGGAAGTGGTGGCGTGTGAGTCGGGTGCCGCGTCAGGAAGGAAATGACGTTCCGGCCCTGTGATGTTGGTCGTGCACAAACACACAAATATTATTCTTACTGTTTGTTCTCTCGAGCGGATGTTGTTGGCACGGTTTGATAAGATAGTATTAACACTTTCCTGACATACCAGCGACCTTGTGTGGACGATAAGGGTTAAATACTTTCCAAGATCAACCTAAAGATTAGACCCTTAAGCTTATATCACCTCAAGATTAACCACCCTAAAGCTAACTAAACTAACCTAACCTAACCTAATCTAACCTAAGCTAACTTAACCTAAGCTAATCCCCCAAGCAGCAGAAGGATGGATAATCTTCAGATGAAATAACCTGAGGGTGTCTATTCTTCAGGTGATTCAGTTTTCGTGTGGGCGGTTTGCACCCTAGTGATTACATACTGGGCTTATGTACTCAAAGGCTCATTATTAGTAATAAAAATTAAAGTACTTTTTCTAATATAAACTACATATAAATTACGTAAATATAAATTTAAGACGTAATATACAACTGAAAAATATATATACCAAAATACTAAAATTTAAAAAAAAATATGAAAAAATAAAAAAATAAAAATAAATAAAAAATTCCCATAAAAATATAGAGAGAATTGATGGAATTTATATACCTCGTGTAAATAAACAGAGATACAGTATACCCCTTTTGAAACCAGGATTAATACGAGTTCTATACGAAAAACATTGACCTCACCTCACAACACGTCACAGTAGCATCACTAGCCCTGAGGATATTTAATAGCATCACTAGCCCTGAGGATATTTAATAGCTCCACTAGCCCTACGTGAAAAGAATGCAGCTATTTCCAGTACAATCTCAACTCATTTTTAGAATGAATTATCATCACCTTCTCTATATCGCCGTCTTCAGGTGTTATGTTGGGTGGTTGTTGTTGTTATTGTGTGGTGGTTGTTGTTGTTATTGTGTGGTGGTTGTTGTTGTTATTGTGTGGTGGTTGTTGTTGTTATTGTGTGGTGGTTGTTGTTGTTATTGGGTGGTGGTTGTTGTTATTGTGTGGTGGTTGTTGTTGTTATTGTGTGGTTGTGGTTGTATTGTGTGGTTGTGCTGTTATTGTGTGGTTGCGTTGTTATTGTGTGGTTGTGTTATTGTGTGGTTGTGTTGTTATTGTGTGGTTGTGCTGTTATTGTGTGGTTGTGTTATTGTGTGGTTGTGGTTGTATTGTGTGGTTGTGCTGTTATTGTGTGGTTGCGTTGTTATTGTGTGGTTGTGTTATTTTGTGGTTGTGTTGTTATTGTGTGGTTGTGTTATTTTGTGGTTGTGTTGTTATTGTGTGGTTGTGTTATTGTGTGGTTGTGTTGTGTGGTTACGTGTCCATGTCGGCCATAGTTTTCCTGTGTGTAAGTGAAGCTATAAATAGGTTAAGTGAATGTTCCATCATGTTGACATTTATAGTGGCATCCGGTTTCTCCCGCGTCCAGTGTCCGTTTGGAGATGATAGCCACACTATGTATCTTTGAGGAGGTGAGGTGCTCATTAATCGATGTTGCTCGTATCCTACAGGAGGTGCCACCAGCGACCGGGAGTTATGACCACCGGGAGGGCATGACCTTAGAGGAGTCCTACGCTGAGTATTACGGCCCTGACATGTCCCCGAAGCCCTTCCTCCACTCACTGTCTTACCTGGTTGACGCCGCAGTCCAGGCTGACCACGGCCTCCTTGGTGCCGACCCCAGGTAGGTGACCTTAATGAGGCGCCACCAGGTGATCCTGTTTTCCCTAGGTAGTCAGGCCCAAGGCGACCTGCCCTCACCCTAACTACGGCGGTCCTCTAATGAATCGCCGATACATTTTTTATCGATCACTTCCTCTTCTATTTCTAATCAAGTTCGGCATTATAAATTTGACAGGTAAATCAGTAACTATTCTTTTTTTTTTCTATGAGTTTATCTAAAAGTACTTGTGTTTGTATTTATCACGCCAGAACACATGTATCTGTATCTACAGGTACCACTTCGGCAGCGAGAGGTTTTCAGAGTCGCAGACGCTGTTGGTGGGTCGCTGGCGGAGGATTATCAAGGCTAGCCAGGCTGGGGACTACACCTCCGCCCTTTACCTACTGGGGCTCTCATTAACTGCCATCCAGGACTTCTACTCCCACACCAACTGGGTAGAATTGGGCAATACCGAATTCAACCATGACGTCGGTAAGTCACATTTACACAGACTAGGTAGAATCGGAAAGTCTATTTCAACTGGTACGTTAATAAGTGACTCACACAAGCTGGAAAGTGAATTTGCAAAATAAGCTATCAGGTCCTTACATAAGTGTTCAACTGGTTCCTCATTGATTCTAACGGGTCCCTCACGGATTTTGACAGGTTCTTCAATATTTTCATCAAGTCCTTCGATAATTCTAACAGGTCTTTGGATAGTTCAACATGCTCTTCGGTACCTTTAACGAAATTTTTTACCAGGTGTTAATGATGAGAATGTGAACAATAGTCTCTCAGATACAAACAATAAAGTTCCACTCAGCAAAGAAATACGTGAAGTGTGTCCTCCAGTACAATACAAGGAGAATGTCTTGTGAGCATCAGTGATAAGACATCAAGTAAGTGGCTGAACGATAGTCTTTCTTGCAGGCGTCAACGGCAAGGATTTCAAGAACGTGGCGAGCTTCCAGGAAGGGACCTGCAAAGACTGTCCCGAGGCAGCTGACGGAGCGGGATCCTGCCCAAACAACCTGCTCCAGGAGATCCTCGACTCAGATAAGCTCACCTCAGGATACACCAACGACGCCTTCGTGGACGGCAATAGGGTGGAGAAGCCGCTGAGTGTCGGTGAGTGCATACCTTGACACCTGTAGTGACGTAGACTTGTGTTGCTGTAACATTATACAAGAACTTTATTCAGTGTATTCATAGTCGAGCAATAGTTGGGCCTGGATATTAACAGGTTGGATACACAGGTCACAAGTGGACCTGGAGCCTAACAAGAGACACACACAGATCGACAATTTTTTATGACGTTCAGAAAATTTCATTTTTGGTCGTGAAAAAATCGTGTGACTAATCTCGAACGACCAAATAAAACCAAGGACCCGCTGGTGTTATGTATACAGTATAGTATAGTATAGTATACATAAAGCAGAGCTTAATAAAAGTTTACTGTAACCAAAATGCTAAACTAGGCCATAAGAGAGGCCAATGACCCACGTGGGTAAAATCGGGTCTTTTATTACTCTGACTTCACTTTTCGCAGGAGAACAAGCAAGTTTTATTCTAAGTCATTTCATAATATACAAACTACAGGTACATAAAGTACAAATACAGATACAGGTATTACAAATTACTGAGAGAAAACGGAATGCTGTTATGTGTTTGTTTCTCTTCGTGATCCAGATAAATGTAGTCATGGTGGTCCCAGGGACAGGTCGAGGAGGGTGGGGGCTCGGGGGGGCATCAACAAGGACCTCCCCACTGCCTGTTTCTCCCCTCACCACCACCTTCACCACCAAGCTGCTAAACAGGCTGTGCAGGTGAGTCTCTCCATCATCACCACCAACAGGGGTTAAGTAGACCTTATACGGGGTAAGTCAGATGAAACGGATTACAATTATCACTTTTTCAACCATAAGATAAATTTGGTGTCAAAAACTGAAGTTTCAGGAATGTGACCGAAACCACTGAACCTAGACAGTGTAGGTATACAAACAATATACTCAGACAGTGCAGGTATACAAACAATATACATAAACAGTGTAGGTATATAAACACTATTAAACAGTAAGTCGATTCGACCCAAGAATAGCCGAATAAAATTATCCAAATCCTTTACTTATCCAGGCCAGCGAGTATTACTTAAACTTAGTGCGTGGCGGTGTAGGGGACGAGGTGTTCAGCCGCCTGTTTGGACTACACCCAACACCCGCCCTAGTCATCATCCTCGACACCACAGACTCCATGGATGAGGAACTGTCAGCCCTCATCCACTCCGTCAAGCGCCTCGTCATCCAACACTCCACGGTTACCTATCCCCCGGCGGAATACATCCTTGTTCCCTTCAATGATCCACGTAAGTTAATATCTCCTGTGATCCACGAGTATTAGGACGAGTCTACACACACACACACACTAGTAACACGCCTTCCCAACCCTTAATGTCTCCTCCTGTGTTCCACCAAAGTTGTTCCATGTGAGTTTATGTTCCCTCTCGTTGAATCACATAAATTATTGATGTCTACAGGAGTCATAGTGCGTGTTATTTCATCAGCTGTAATATTAGTGCCACAGCTTCATAAACTTTAGTGCAGTCATTAAATCATACGGTGTTGTCTGTCTGTCTGTCTGTAGGTGAGGTGTTCTTCATAGACAAGGCAACTATGTATTCTTTTTGTTTTATTCTTCCTTTTAGTTTATGGTCCAGTCACAAGATCACAGCGGCCTGATGAGATCTATCTGGCTCTCACCCAGCTGCAGGCGATCGGTGGAGGAGACGAGGCGGAGGTGAGTTACGGAGGAGGAGTAGCAGAAGGAGGAGGAGGAGGAAGAAAAAGGAAGAAGAAGAGAATGAGGAAAAGAGACGATAAGACTGTAACTAATCAAATAGAAATTATTCATAATGGCCTCAGCCTAACCCAATCCAAGTAGGACGGAAGACTCATAAGATTGAGGACCATTTGGACTGGGGGCCTCTGAGGATTGACCCCCCAAGCCTAACTTAACCCTTCATCTTGCCCTGGATTGGGAGGTCAGGTTTGGTTAGATTAGATTAGATTACGTTATGTTAAGTTAGGTTAAGGTAGGTTACGTTAAGTTAGGTTACGTTAAGGTAGGTTAGGTTAGGTTACCTGAGCTGATTACAGTATTTAGTAATAAAGGGGAGATCCGATTAGCCACAAAAGGTATTTGCACTATTAATTAAAATAAAACACACTTTGTTCAATACACTGAATTTATGCACGATCACATAACATGCCCTGTTGGTACACACATGATATACATAAGCTCCTTTGATATATACACATGACGTACATAACAAACCCAGCTGGTGCACACATAATGCAGATAAGCCATGTTAAGAAGTAATAATCCTTTCAGCTCAGTATGTCAGCGCTTCTCCTTGGTCTTCATCACGCCCCTCCGTACTCACACCTCTACCTGTTCACTGACGCCTCCATCAAGGACCCGGAGCTCTTCGACACCGTGGTCACTCTAGCACTGGCTAAGTCTGTTAAGGTGAGATACGACTTTCACTACTAGACTAATGTTGGTTTATTATATTTCTTCAGATTAACTTTACATAATCAAAATAGTCTTCACCCTCCCTCGGACTGTGGTGCGGCGGGGTACATGGTCACCTTTTTTTCGGCAGCATAAACCTCATATGTGGGCTGAGTCTTGACCTTCATCTGTTGTACTTCACTCCTCTATTGGTGATGGTCCAGTATTCCATGGTCGTGCTCCTGTTATATCCCTGTAGACTTCAAAGAATTCTAGTAATCTTGGACTTTCTTCAGTCTTGGTCTCAGATATTCTTCAGCATTGTGTCTTAAGTTCTGTTACTAGTGTCCTTGGATCCTCTTCAGGTACGGCTCAATACGTCCTCCAGAAGTGGCCATGGACTTTCCTTCATCAGTGGCTGTAGATCTTTCCTCTAATAATCTCAAAACTCCAGTACATTATATTATCTTTCAGGCATTTATGAATTAAAACAAACGTAACCTCATACTTCTCTCTGTAGTCCTGCGAGAGTTCCTGCAAGCAGTAGTACCTCTCACTGCCGCCACAGGACCTACTAAACTCACAAGTGTCAGCGTAGTTCCTCAAGTACATCATGTTTTCGCTTTGTTTTTCTGACAGGTAACTCCCGTACTGACGATGCCGGTGCGTTTCGGGGGCATCACTGGTAAACTGACACTTAAGGAGGACGTGGAGTCTCACCTTAACAGTTACGACAACGACAGCGACAGTAACAGGACCGCCAACACCAGCAGCCTCAGGTAACAAGGGTTCTAGGACAATTATTCATCACCGGTGTATACTGTATATATAGATATAAGTTTGAAGTCTCTGGTTGGTGTTGGTTACCATTAAAGCTTAAACTCCATCACTACAACATCAAAGTCCCAACCTTCAATGGCGTTGTTATTTTGTCTTTATTCACGGTGGTTCAATTTCAAAGTAAAACAATTTAAGGCAAATCGTCATGTGCTGCTCGCTTTCCTGCAGACTGGACAAACACAGCAGCAGCAGCAGACGACCGAAGAGGCAGCTGCAGAGTTTCGGCAAGTACAGTGAGCTGGCGGAGAGGACAGGAGGCCAGATCCTTGAGACGGACAGTGACAAGGTGACAGAGACCTCCAGAATACTCGAGGAAGAGCAGTATCCTATGGTAAGTGAGACAGTGACGGGGAAGAGTCCTGTGGGGAGTGAGACAGTGACGGGAAAGTATCCTATGGTGAGTGAGACAGTGACGAGGTAGTGTCCTATGGTGACCGAAACAGTGTCCTATGATGCGTAAGACAGTGACGAGACAGTATCCTATTGTGCGTGAGGCAGTGGTGAGGTAGTGCCCTATGGTGACCGAGACGTGTCCTATGATGAGTAAGACAGTGACGAGGCAGTATCGTATTGTGAGTGACCGTGCCACATTCTTAGCATAATACAGTGTCTCCTTAATCACCATAACACGAAACTATGATCATAATTCCAGGCCGTGCTGTGGCGAGAGTCCTACGTGACGTCATTAACGAAGGTAAGGGTTCCGGTGGACTCTCTGGTGAGGCAGTTGGAGGTGTCTATCGCTGGCGGGGTGTCCACTGCTCACCTCATCTCCCCATCAGGTGAGTCCTCAACTGCCTGAAGAAGGTGTGAAGAGGTGATCCATCTATGTATAAATCCCCAGCTCATGGACTTAGAGGTTTACGGTAACGTCAGTACGCTATTAAAGTCTCCTGTATAAACAAAGATACATTACTAGTATTTGTTGATAGAGAAGACAACACATACCAAGAAATGAGAACCAAAAGTCATGGAACAATCTTAAACACTACCGTCAGAGTCCCAACCTTCAATGGCGTTGTTATTGTTTTGTCTTTATTCACAAACAATTAAAATCATTTTTAAACCTAACCTAACGTAACCTAGCCAAAGTACCCGGCTTAGTAAGGGTTCAAGTATTCATTATTCTTATAATAGTTTACAGTACTTTTATTCTTATATGTATTTCCATCTACTAATAAAATGTGTATAAGTATTAAGCTTTTACACTATTTTACTTATGTGATATAAATTGAAACTCTGACTTTTTTATAATAACAAAAATCTATAGCAGTTAAACATTTAGACGACATAAAAAAAATAATTTTGAGGTATAATTATTTATTCACATTGCATTTCTTTACCATATTGCGAACCGAACCTAACCTAACCCAACCTCACGCAGTTTAACCTCGCCTAACATAACCTAACGTAACCTAGCTTAACATAACCTGACCAAATTTACTTCCTAATAATATAAAGACAATTTTTTGGTGGGAGGAGAGAAATCTTTGCCGACTACATGCGCAAAGAGAGTGAGGGAGAGGGGGAAGGTTTTAAGGCCAAATGTAAAGAAGTGGCACCTAGGTCCACACCCCCTGTATACATGCACAGTTTTGATGGTGGTTTTTGACCTATCACACACACACACACACACACACACACACACTATTTTTTTACAACGAATTAAATGTTTTGTATTTGGTCCTTCACCTCTCGCTCTACTGTACAGGTACCAGGTTTGATCTGGCGGCCCTGGCGGGTTCCGTGGACCACATGGGCTATACCGTTGTGGCTTTCACTCCCTACCTCATACAGGTGAGTCTGGCTCCTCGTTCTTATGAAAGTACTCTTACGTTCATAGTATGTCCCACATTTATATATTTTTTTATATACGTAAGAAAAATTCCCCCTGAAAGAGGTTTAGGAATATACGTATATAGAAGTATAGTTTTATACCTGTGTGGCCTTGAGCAAGCTTTAAGGAACATCTTTTATAACGATATACTGTCGCGAGTTCTATTGGAGTAAAATAGCACTATTTATTGGTTCATATAAAAATAAGCTTACATATTGAAGGAATCAGTTCCGAACTTTTAGTAAGTATCTTCAGTGGTACAGTATAATAAGTTATAATTTCCTTGTCAACTGTTTTGTTGTGTCCCAGTATTCATCCTCAAAAGTTCTTCTTGTTCTGTTTGGGTCTTCATCTAAACCCTCATATGTCACGTATTAACCGCTGTCAGTAAGAAATGACTCCTCATCTCACCCCGGCAGTAGTCACTGTAGCGCGTTAAATCCAAGGGAGTGTCGTAAATGTTTTGTGAAGGCAGGTGACCATGATGGTGCCCAGGGCTCTGTGAGCTCTTGGATCACCCCTAAGATCATTTTTCTCCCTCGTCCATGAGCTTCTCACCAACTCAGCTTCTGTTAACTCCTCGCTGTGTAATATTGTACAGGTACGAATCAACATGGCTCAGCGACAGAAAGACTTCGGAGAATGGACTTTAAGCTTTGACCCCACCGATGTGTCATCAGCTGTTATCTACGCCCACACGCCCATGGACATCCTGCCAGCTTACTACACCCCGGACGCCGGCTCCATCCAGCCCTCCCTACAGCGAGTTATGGGCCAACCAAGCACAGGTAACTACCGTACATCTGGCTGACTTAAGCACTTACTCATTTGACTTTATTTGACACGGTATTATTTTACCGTTCTTGTTAAGGGCAAGGTGTTCGATAGCATATTGGCTTTTGATAATTATGTTTGATTATTAATTCCAGGCGTCATTGGCCTCACTTTAGATAAAATGTAGATATTCGTCCCCTTGAATCCTTCCTTGCCCATTTTTCACCATGTCTTACCACTATAGGTCAGGACACGTACTTAGACTTGGTGATAACGGGAGTGGACACTGCGGGGCTGCGACTTATCGACAGTGTTAGTCTCCGGGATGAGTCTGGCACAGAATTGAGCTTGGATGTGCCCATCAAGTCCCCGCGTCGTAACACCTACCTCCGCCTCCCCACCAGACGACTGCCAGAAGAGCGATTCACAGTAGTGGTCACTGGAGAGGATGGCGCAGGTTAGCATGTCTATTTCACATCTGTTTATGACCGACAAATATTATCATTGCCATGTCTTTATTATGCCCCGACTGAAAAGGTGAATGGATATATAACGAGAGTACTGAGTAGCTCATCTGTCACCAATCGGACAGACATCGCCATTGTCCCGCTACAGAATATCTGTAGTCTATGTGCACGACAACAGGGAGAAAAATAATATAAAAATGAGCCTATTTGGCGTCCCAATAGCGGTACCTTTCTAACACTGTATTTATTTTTCTTACGCTACAGGAAAACGGTTTCGTCGAGAGAGCGGGAAGGGTTGGGAACTGGTAGAGTCGACGCTTTCCTTTCCTCTGGGTCGTGATATCTGGGGTCCTCCTGGCGCGAATCTCATCATACCTGTCGCCATCACTAACTCCGCCGCTCCCAACACCTACTTCATCACGGCGTACGATGCGCTAGGCTCACAAGTCAGGGTCAACCAGAAACGGTGTGTAACTGTGTCCCTCCACCTCTCTCTTGCTAAATATGACTGGATTGCATCACCTTATTCTGGTATTCGTTGGCACTAACTTCTCTGCTGTTTTGTGGGATATTTTCATAAAGTTGCAGATTTAATGGGCCCCAGTTTCAATAGGCCCCATTCTTTGAGAGGCCCATCTAAACCCAACCTAACAATCAGAAGAAATGCTGATGGTTAGGTTAGGTTCCACCCTTCCGGACTGGGCCCATTTGATCAGTAGTCTCTCACGATACCTTATATTTCTTTAACTTTTTTAGCATGAGACATAGTGGCCCTCGGGATGACATTATGGTCCTCAAATTACAGATTATGGCCCTCAGTATGACAGAACATGACCCTCAGTATGACATATTATGGCCATCAGTATAACATTATGCCCCGCAATATAACATTATGATTCTCAATATGACCGTAAACTCATCTTATCTCAGGGTACAGCTTGGGAGGAACGAGACAATGACCCTGAAAGTAACGATGGTGATCGACCCTCAGGCCTTACCCCACACCACCAACTCCTTGATAGTGACGGCCACCTCCACCCACGGCCACACCGCCCTCGCCCACGCCCACCTCTCTGTGACCGCCGTAGTGAGTATAATCCTCTGGCTTACCGCTGATGGCACACAAACTTAAATCATCTTCGTATACTATAATCCGGGTCAGGTACGGTATATATATCTTCACGTGAGTCGGAATCACCATATGTGTGACTACTGATTACAGCTTAACTTAAAGGCCAACTCTAGTCCCACATTTCCGTGTGTGTGTGTGTGGGTTGATACTATACAGGCATAAGCTTAAGGTAAAAAATGCTGGAGGTGTAGAAAAGGATTACCTGAAGATTAGACACCCCAGCTTGATTTACCTGTTGTTTATACACCCTAACCCAAAACCCAATGTAACCTAACCTAATGTAACCTAACCTATGTAACCTAACCTAATGTAACCTAACCTAATGTAACCTAACCTAATCTAAGTCCTCCAGGTAGCGGTAGGGTGTTTAATCAAGTGATATATGCTAGGGGGGGGGGAGTTAATTTTCAGGTGATACGAGTTTCTTCTCTTTCTTCACCTCACAGGGAAGCGACGTAACAGGGCCGTACTGCGACATGTATCCGAGGACTTCCTGTGACGGCCACCTCACCACAGACACCTGTTCGAGCCTGGAGTGGAGTACACGGATCACTATTAGGGACGACGGCGATGGTATGCCCTGCTGACCTGACCTATGTTGACCGGACCCATGATGACCTCACTCACGATGACCGAAATCATACTGACCTGACCTATGCTGACCTGACCTACACTGACCACAGGCGCATTTCATCTGGGCGCCAACATACCGGTACTTCCGTGACATATTATCCTTGATTTGGGCGCTATTTTATGACGAAAATGGCATAGGTGACTGAATATAACCATCCAAGTGATATAAAAAAAAAGAATCACAACAACTTAGAGTGCAAGTGAAAAGATGTGCAAACTCAGACATGTGTGCTAGGCCTTCAAAAATAATTAGAAAAGAACTTCAGAGTTTTAGTGAGAACCTACTTCAGCCAAAAGACCTAAAAAACGTTTCTCCCTCCACTGTTTCGCTTAGTCATTTTCGCCCAAATGAAGTACATGGTTTGCCTAAACTCAGCGCCCAAATATGTTTATTTTGGCCCCCAATTGAAAGATTTTTTTTCTCGCTCAAATGAAGTGTCAATGCGCCCCTGACTTCGCCCACGCTGACATGGCCCACACTGACCTGATCTACGCTGACCTCACCCAGGTCACTCTGCTACTACTAAACTGTAGACATTTACTAGCAGTTACCTTCTTTTCCATTTTTTTTAATCATAAACTTTGTGATTAATGAAAGGGAATTTGTCCAGTTAGAGTTTCAGAATATTTTAATTGTATTTTTTAATTCTCTATTTTATGTTTTTGTCCTCAGTAAATCAGTTAGATTCTTATATAATTAATGACGAGGAATAGTCATCGTAAGACTCTTTTTAAAGTCGAACCCAAAATTATGGTTAGGTTAGGTTAGATTAGGTTAGCATTATGGTGTTTAATCATCAGGTGAAATAAACAGTGTGCCTAATCCTCACATGATCCTCATAAATCTATTAACATTCTTGACAGACAGACAGATATATATATATATATATATATATATATATATATATATATATATATATATATATATATATATATATATATATATATATAGATAGATAGATAGATAGACACACCTGCAAAAAATCCGCACAAAGTTCTCGCATCTGGTTCCACACTGATAGCCCAGCTTTCCTTATATGGGAATATGTGGAGCTACCAATGAAACGTTTTCTATCATTTGCCATAATGTAATTTTATTTTATATGATATGTAATTCTAAGATGGTTAAGTTTACTGTAAATTGAAGACTACAAATCTAACGTAAACAAACAAGGATAAGGGAAATGACGTCCTGACCATGCTTGCCAACCCTACCGAGATTACAGAAGAGGTACTTGGTGTTTATTTAGAAGTCCACCATATGCAGGGGGAAATTTAATTATTGGTTCATCTTGTAAAACACTCGCTCTAGAAGTATCTTTACGATTTCGTGTGAGACAATATGACACAACGGACGAGGGGATTTTTGAGAACCCTACCGAGACAACAACGAGTGGCAGTGTTCATTTTGAAATTCATTTGGAACCCTCAGTAAGATACTTTTGGGGGGAGCGAGTAACACCGACATAGAAGGTGAATTAAAGGTAAAAATTCATTCATTCATCTTCCTCCAGGTATAGAGAGGCTGGACACTGATCCCGTCACCAACAACCTCCCCTACTTCACTATCGGCGACCATATCGTGGAGTGGCAGTATAAAGCCAAGTGCTGTCAACCACACCTTACCATTCACGTGTACGACCGCGCCTCCAACCTGGGCGTCTGCCAGATTGACAACGGAAATGTCTCAGGAGGTAATTTCAGTTGTAATGTTGAATATATCTTAACACAGTGACGCTCCTCAGGCAAGAAAGCGGCTCTTTTGGTACGAATGATTTAGGATGATGGAATCGTATCTTGTTATTATGTTTTTACTGTGTTGTTCCTCTTCCTCTCCCCCCCTCCCCGTCTTCCATGTCTTCTTTTTCTGTGTCTTATAGTGTGACTTATCTTCCTCCAACACACCCAGATGATATTTGTTTTTTCTCTCCAGTTTATAAGGATTTAATGGGCCAAAGGTTTAATTCTCGCGAAAATATTTTAATGTGTTCGCTCATTTTTTTTTCATTTTTAGACCAATTAAGATAAAAGTTGGCATTTACACTATACAGTTTTCATTTAAGGCGTCGATTATTACCATAAGGTAACCAAATTATACCTAAAGAGGATTAGGTAATTTTAGGCAATGTTAGGTTAGGTTAGGCGTTGTTTGAAACTATTATATATATATATATATATATATATATATATATATATATATATATATATATATATATATATATATATATATATATATATATATATATATATATATATATATATATATATATATATATGTATATATATATAATCTACATTAATGATCATTTATGGCCGGTCAGAAGTTTCCCAAAAAGAGAAATACATAGAAATGACCGTAAATCGATAATTATCCCAATTTACTGACACACACACACACACACACACACACACACGCAGACACAGACACACACACACAGTAATGATACTTTAACACTACAAACTTTCTCATACAACACTGCTGTGCCGACTCATCTTATCCACAAGTCAGGCATCAACTTTCCTCTGGTTTCCACAGTAACTTAAGCATAAAAAAGTTTCAAGCACACATTATAATTGGCTAAATGTCCTGTTAACTGGGAATGGTTATCTCGTAGCCTCAATTAAGCGTTCCATTGATACATTACACACAGGTACCTAATGCTTACTGTTGGTGTCAGTCCTCTACTGTGTCCTGTCCTTTACTCACTCATCCTTAGCTGACGAAGTCATCACACCCACGTCAGCTTTTGCTCTTAGTTTATGCAAGTCATTTGTATATCGGTCAACTGAACATAAAAAACTTATTCCAGAATAATTCGACTTATCTTTTATTCTTGTTCTTCATCTGTTAGGTTTCTATTTACATCTAATGAACTGTGATAGTGTAAATAGAGATGCTACTTCGATCTGAGAACATTGTTGTGCTTCTACTTTATGAATTCACGAGGCAAAGACTTTCACTCCCAGCAATGTTCAATACTGTGCATAATTTTTGCAGTATGTAAAGGAACAGAACAAAAGACTTTTGAGTTCTTATTTTAGTATATCTTACAGCTGTCGTGTTCTCTCCTCTCTCCCCCAGGAGACAATCTCAACACTGGCGAGATAGCAGGAATCGCCGTCGGTTCTGTCCTGGGACTGGTTGTGCTTGTTCTTCTCATCATATTTATTGTTATTCGACTTCGTCGGAGTAAGAAGGAGAATATCACTCTCAATAGAGCTGCGAGTAGAACTTCTGCAGAATAGGAACGACTGAAGGAACACCTTAGAGGGCAGGGCTTGAGTCCAACACCTGTGAGCAAGACGTCACAAAATTGCTTGGAGTCTAGGGTAAACAATCAGAGGGATAAACCTGACGATTCTGATGCTCCGTTGCCAAGAGAACTCGCTGATCCCTCAAGAAGCGCCTCAAGGCTCTCGGGGGTGTCGACAACCACAACTTCAGAGTCAGGTTCAAACAGGTGGTCGTCGACCCAATCTTCAGGACAAAGGAGCAGCGTCTCAGGGCACCATCTGTATCCTCCAAGTCAGACGAGTTCTAGGTCTATCACATCCTCAGACCAGACGAGTGAGTCGTGTCGGTCGTCAGATAAGTCATCAGTGTCAAGATCTTCCTATCAGTGGGGCTTCTGGAGAGTTCGTTTCCTAAGACCACCTTCAGTTTTTACTGTGAATAAAGAATGTGTTTAAGACACATTACGAACTTATCAATGGATACGTCAGGTTGAAAACGTTTCAAAACCTTGAAAATAAAATACAAATCTAAAGCTCCAAACAAGGAACAGTCCAGTGCAGCTAAAGTATTCGGATGCATAATTTCTATGTACCAGAAGAATCTTGTTTTTGTAGTAAATATTGAGGAGATATTATGAATAAAATTTGGAGACACATCCCTACAGTACTTCTGAAAGTGGGGCAGTGTTATGTCGACTGCCTGGTTTGGTCTAGTGAACTGAGTAATGACGGACTCGGAGGCTGATAGCGACGTGACGGGTATCAGGAGTTAGGTGTTCCTTCACATTAATTACGGAATTTCATTATATATATATATATATATATATATATATATATATATATATATATATATATATATATATATATATATTTATAATCCTTGGTTATTTTAATTTCCACGGGTACTTGACTTAATTATACACTTACTTAAGTATTGTGATTGATGTATAGCGTATATCGTCTTCATAGAAGGGTTCATATTTTGTGGTGGTGGTGTGTGTGTGTGTGTGTGTGTGTTGCACAGTCTCATCTTACTGTGTACCTACAGGTTAAGGATAAACTTCATAAGAGTTTGTCCGATAAACATGTCTCGTAAATGATGTAACAATACATTTAACTTTTTGAGTTAAGATAAAACACAAATCACCCAAAAATAACATTATATTAAGACTACCTTCACTGAGACCTAAAGTACACACCTTCCCCCAAACTACCTGAACTACACACCTTCCCTCAGACTACCTGAACTACACACCTTCCCTCAGACTACCTGAACTACACACCTTCCCTCAGACTACCTGAACTACACACCTTCCCTCAGACTACCTGAACTACACACCTTCCCTCAGACTACCTGAACTACACACCTTCCCTCAGACTACCTGAACTACACACCTTCCTCAGACTACCTGAACTACACACCTTCCCTCAGACTACCTGAACTACACACCCTCACTGAGACTACCTGAACTACACACCTTCCCTCAGACTACCTGAACTACACACCTTCCCTCAGACTACCTGAACTACACACCCTCACTGAGACTACCTGAACTACACACCTTCCCTCAGACTACCTGAACTACACACCTTCCCTCAGACTACCTGAACTACACACCTTCCCTCAGACTACCTGAACTACACACCTTCCTTCAGACTACCTGAACTACACACCTTCCCTCAGACTACCTGAACTACACACCTTCCCTCAGACTACCTGAACTACACACCTTTATTGAGACTACCTGAACTACACACCTTTATTGAGACTAGCTACATATCTTATATATTACATAATAAATAAATTTTTACTACACTTATTTGCATGATTAAACCTGAGTAGTGCCCCAGGCAGGTCAGTTCAAGTCATGATAACGAATGTCAAAAGGTGAATCGCAGCGGTAGTGTCATTACTGCAGTAACTTGTCCCTTCTCAAGCTTGTCTTATTTCAGAAATAAATTCACTGGCAAATTTCAAAGAATTTATGTTTTTATTCAGTATAGGAAATTAGTGTCAAGAATTGATATGTAGTAAAAGTATCCTGGCCGCGTCCATCGAGCCACGCATGAGAGGAGACAACTCGAGCCTCGTTAAGTTTGGTTGGATGGAAACTTGTTCGTGGTACTTTCCCAACAAGTTGCGCTATTTCTTTTTTTTTTTAATTGGGTCCCCCCCCCCCTACATCCTTGTGTAAGGTGAAGCGCAGAAGCGTTTACAGCGCCCAACAGGGAAGCATGCTAAGTTCATGCTTGCCTTTATGTCTCATGAGTTAAGGGCGTTGAAGCCTGAAGAGTCAAGGGCGTAGAAGCCTGAAGAGTCAGTGGTTTATGTCATCAAGTTATTGGAAGCTCCAACAACTAGCTGAATACGAATTCGCAACTTTCGACTTACAACAGGTACCTACTTTACTGCTAGGTGAACAGGGACTAATGGGGGCCAGGAAGTAAGTCCAAACAACTTCCACCGGCCCGGGAATCGAACCCGTGACATCTCGCTTGGTAGGCAAGAACGGTACCGTTTCTACCACCGATTACTCTTTTTTCGTTGATGAATAACAGAAGAAAAACGGGATAGTGTCAACATGTAGACTACTGGACAGCTGTACTGTACTTTCATGTTGGTATATGGAAGAAAATGCTGAAAATAATAACAAAATTTGTCAGTGATTGGAAATATTATGTACAATCAGTGGAAGTGGTTGTAATTAAACTGTTGGGAGTAAGAAGGGACATTTTATCAGAATGGGAGGAGGCCTTGTGGAGAACTGTGATTGGTTCAGGAGAAGGGCCGCCATTCACGAGTCGACATTACACCAGTTGTCGTGTGACCAGGGGCCATGCACCCCCCCCCCACCACGATGTCAAGGGAGGGAGTCAAAGCATCTCCACTCCCCATAAGGGTAACTTATTTTTTTTCTTAAGAGCGTAGTTAATTTCCTGGTAGCACTCGAGCACATCAACAATATGATTTGTCGGCTTGTGTCATTTAAATAAAGGATTCAACAACTGCCAGGATCAGTGTCATTACACACAGCACCTGTTATGAGTTACCACTTATTAGCATTTAGTTGTCCTTATTGAATTGCTTTTCTATAAAATATAAGATTACACTGATTACTTAACACACTTGTTCATTACTGGTATAAACATGGAAGTCATAGCCACGTAAATTATATTTTCATGACAAGTTAATGGCAAGTAAATACAACTTTATTCTTTATCATGGTATAAGTTTTGTTTAATAGGGAGTTAATATAACAAGAAATGACATGTGCTGCCTGTCCAACTTCTCTTCATACTTTTACAATTTGGGGACAATATGACGTATTTATCAATATCATAGCCTTTTAACTGGCTATTTTAAACACGCATATATTATATTTATCTGGCAGTCAATTAGGTTATAATAGTATACACCTTTATAGTTATTTAGTGTCATAGACGTAAAATATGGGGTGAAGGCTATTTACTTGGACAAAGATGTTCTTGATCTCGAAAGTTTAACTGAGATGGTCAGGATTTAAAAATAAAGTCAAGAGCATTTTTGCGTTGTTTCATACGCTTTTTGGGGGGAAGAATTTACTTCTACAAACCAAATACAAAATCCTTGATAAAGTGAAACTAAATATAAAGATTTATATAAGAATTATCTGAACTTAAGGAACAACATAGGATGCTCCCCCTTCCCTAACTTCCAGATCTCAATGTTCCAGTACTATTGACATGTTATGGCGAGGGCCTTACCTTAATAATAAAAAACTAAGATGAAGCTTTTGAGAAACTGTGACTTTGTTTTTATAATACGAGGATTAACCCTCAGAGCCATGCACAAACCCTGAATATAAACTTAAATTTTCGTGCAAATATTTTAACTGGATCAGAAAGACTACAGTTGTTATTTATGAAAAGTTGGTACATTACTGTCCAAGGATTACATCTTTGAGCTGAAGATTATTTACACTGAGTGTATGTGTTTTGGTGCTACAGCGGGAAAACCTCACATTTGTGTTTGCGAATAAAAAAGGCATTCGGACTAAAGAAAGGAAAAAAATAGGTGACGAAAGAAATGCTTTAAAGTCCTTTTTCAAAGGTACAAAAGAAACAAAAATAATAGTACTTTGTTTTCTGCTACATTAAAGGAAAGGCATGAACTTTATCAAGACCTAAATACATTTGAATTTAAAAAACCTTTTCAATTGTGTTTCAATAAGATGTCCTTATATATTTCCCTTCGTTCATAAAAAAGTTAATCTCTCAGAAATACATAAAATACATATCTACTGAGTCTTCACACGATGTGGTAAACTTTTCATTTGTACTCAACAGAAAAAGAAGAAGAACCTTACCTTCATCTGTAAAACAAACACTACAGTACCTACTATAATCCTCTTCTAAGTGTTACTTATACTTTTAATTAAATCTATACATTGTAACCTCAACTTAAAGCTAAGTGTGTTACGAGCCTTGATTTATCTCAGTACCTGACGTTATCATCACTAGGTTGCTTGTACTGTACAGTCTGCAGGGTTAGTAAGATGCAGGCATTAAAAATAAATAAAGTCTGTTCCCTGATAAATAAAGGCTCAGGATTCAAAGGTTATCCCCACTTTATAAAATAATGAACATAAACTAAACTACTATTTTAAAGCTCATCAACTCATGTTTATTTCAAAATAACTTTAAATTTTGTCTTAGTGAATTTAAGTAAGTTTGCAACCCGACACAAGTCATAAATCTGGATGTGCATATTTAAAACTGCACCCTAGTATAACCTTACCCAGTATAACCTTACCCAGTATAACCTTACCCAGTATAACCTTACCCAGTATAACCTTACCCAGTATAACCTTACCCAGTATAACCTTACCTAGTATAACCTTACCCAGTATAAGTGATACAAAATCGGGGCTTCGTACTTACCACAGATGCTTCTGAAGTCCTGACCTGTAAACCATAAACCAATGTTAGAAACAAATTATTACTACAGTAAACTTGTTTAAAAATAATCTTGTAAAACAATAAACCACATCACAATACAGTAGTTGTACTTCTTGACACTACTGCCATGATAAAAGAAACTATAACTCACTAAGAATTTTAAAGTAATGCCACACTACAGACACCATACCACCGGCCTTCATCCCAGATAATTAAAAAAAGTATGTCGACTAATTACTAGTACATGATTTCTCACCATTACTACTAAGATTATTGTCTGCAAATATAGGCAGCCAAACGATTAATTGTACCCTAGCCACCACTACGTACATCCTGAAGTTACATTATTACACAAATGTTTTGTGTGATATTTATTGGACATTCTTCAAAAAATAAATTAATTTTCAGTCAATCACAAAGTCTTATTTAATACACCACCTAGGTCCTAGAGCATCATTTGGTCCTACTAATTCAAGAGTTCCATCTCTCATGAATTTTATTTGTTGGAGTAGAGTGATTAAACCTAATTACTGTAGGTGCTTAAAAACCTTAGTTGTCGAAGCACAGTAATAACATTATAATATCAAAGGTATTTCCCTTATCTCTGCACAGAGAAACATATTACCCGCTTATGGCGTGTCTACAAAACATATTTTTTTTTACATATAAGTGTACCTCTGTATCACTATTCTTGTGTTTAGTTTTCTGGAAAATATATTTGTTATTCAAAAGTTGAAGAATATGACAATAGTATATCATACTATGTTTGCTTAGTAGTACGTAACGTGAGTGATCTGGCCTTAGGAGCTACCTGAGGAAATGTTGCCTCTCTACCCAGCAGTAATTGGGGACTGGGAT